TCAAGGAGAACACTGATGTAAGAGCTCACCAAATGGAGATTTGGATCTTGCTCGGCCCTGCTCATCTGTTGACGAGGTCTTGGGGCAAGCTCAAGTTATTCACACCCTTGTTTTTCAAACTTTGATGTAGAATGTAGAATGTAGAATGTAGAATGTAGAACTCCCCTTATTTCTCCCCCTTCTTGTCTGAATTTATTCAGAGGAGCTTCTAACTTTTTGATATTGTATGGGGAGCTTCATATATGTTGGGATTAGGCCAACCTAATTAACCTGTTCCCTGCACTCTTCCATCTCTAAAATAGCAACACATATATATTTATAATCATGAGCACAAATGAGCAAAATAGAATGATTATGCTATATATAAAAAATGAGATGGCAAAATGATATCATGAATGCAAAAACAAGTGCATAATGAATGGAAGAAATGTAGAACGAATGCAAGAAATACAGAAAGCAATTAATAATAAATTTTAATATAAGGTTGGACCAAGCTTGGACCAAAGCTCTAGTTTGCTGCGGAGCTTGATTGCTTTCTTAACAACCTGTATCACCAGGACTTGAAAAAAGGAGAAATCAAAGGCATCCAATCTTATAATCAAGAAAGTATACTTCCTTCATACATATTAATGTAAAATTTATACCTTGATATTATTGATATTGGATGAGTTTTATGAAAATTTACTTAATTTACATAATTTTCATGCTTTGTCCTAGAAAGGACTTAATTGGAAGAAGTCACAATTTTTAGGAGTAAATTGCAAAGATATGAAATTTGAGGATTAAATTGTGCAGAATCCATAAGTAAGGGATTGAGACTGTAATTTTACCGTTAACAGAATTTGCAAAGAAGGACAAAAACCCGACACGGACTTTTCGACACTGATGCAGAAAAGGTGTCGACACATTGTTGAGGGTGTTGACCCTTTGCGATTCATGCTGCACATCTTTCAGGTCGACCTTGGGTAGGATATTTGCATCTCTGCAGCTCGTGCTCGAGCAGGTTGCATGTAGCTCGTGCTCCACATCTTTTAGCTCGACCTCGGGTAGGATGCTTGCAGCTCGGCATCTCGTACTCGGCAGATCGTGCTCGAGTTCATCATGCTTTTGAGCTCGGCAGCTCGTGCTGCAGTTCTGCATCATGCCTTTGAGCTTGGCAGGTCGTGCTTGAATTCTGCATCGTGCTTTTGAGCTCGTCAGCTCGTGCTTGAATTCTGCATCGTGCTTTTGAGCTCGTCAGCTCGTGCTTGAATTCTGCATCGTGCTTTTGAGCTCGGCAGCTCGTCAGCTCGTGCTTGAGCAAGATGCAACTCCTGCTCCACATCTTGCAGCTCGTGCTTCAGCACTTCACAACTCATGCTCCAGCAGTTCACAGTTCGTGCTCTTGCAGACTTCGCAACTCGCGCTGCAGCAAGGATTTTGCAACTCGTGCACCAGCAGGAAGTTCGTGGCTCATGCTCCAGCTGGGACTGTCATACTGGCAAGCTGCCGAGTCAGGGACTCATCTCTTGGATTCTGCAAGAACAAATTCAAAAAGGAGGAAGATCCCAACTTGCTTTTCAGTAAAAGAAAATAAAACAACATCCAAAATAAAGTAAAATAATAAAAGATTAGGATCTATCTCCCCAGTAATTGTAGAGCTATAACCAAGCTCAAATGGTTTATTGCCCAGGGATGCTTGTGGTCGAAACCCGCGTCTCCTCGTTGGTTTTTTAAAGTGCTATTAATTTGTTGCAAGCACAGGCTAACCATGATCATATTTTGTTAATTGCTCGCGTCTTCCTTAACGAGCTTCTTTACAAATTTGCTCGGTGCATGCCGCCGAGCTGGGAGACTGCTTTACTGCTGCAGAGCTGAGCTACTCTGCCTTGCCGAGCTGGACTGCTGCGCTGCCACCGAGTTGGACAGCCTTGCCGAGCTGGACTGCTTTGGTGCTGTCGAGCTGGGCTGCTGTGATGGTACCGAGCTGGACTTCCTTGCCGAGCTGGGCTGCTGTGATGCTGCCGAGCTGGACTTCCTTATCGTGCTGGGCTGCTTTGCTGCTGCCAAGCTGGGCTGTTATGTTGCTGCCGAGCTGGACTACTTTGCCACCGTTATCAAGCTCGAGCTCATCTTATTTCATTGAGGGTGCCCCATTTATGAGCTTATTTGTCTAGGAACTTTCATGGTCTTGTGCTCACACTCTTGCATCATGGCTTCCTCTCACTGTCTCAAGCCAATTCTTTTATGCTTGCAGCCCGTGTTCATGCCACCGAGCTGGGAGACTGCTTTACTGCTGCAGAGCTGAGCTACTCTGCCTTGCCGAGCTGGGCTGCTGCGCTGCCACCGAGTTGGACAGCCTTGTCGAGCTGGACTGCTTTGTCCTTGCCGAGTTGGGGGATTGCTTTGTCATTGACAAGCTGGACTGCCTTGTCCTTGCCGAGTTAGGCGATGGCTTTGCCAAGCTGGGCAGCTGCTTCGTCGCTGCCTGGCACTAACGAGCTGGG